AACGTAATGTAATCTTTCTTCTTTTTCTTTCTATGTTATAAAGTCAGACCTTTTATCTCGAGCTTTAGCATAACTGTGTGACAATATACGGTGTCGATGTTTGTTCTCTACTCGGCTTTGCGAAATCAGCTGTCCATGACTGCACCAGAAAAATACTGTTTGTGGACCATTTTTCTGTAATCTGGACAATGAGAAAACAAACAATCAGCTTAGCTTTATGCTTTACTTACTTCATGTTTTCATCATGAGAATAGCAAGAGATGTCAGCCCTTGAAACAAATTCAGCTGGTTGGATGATGAAAGTCCCATATCGGCTAATTTAGGAAATGATCATAGGTTTATAATCAAGGAATACTCTCTCCATTGATATGAGGCATTTTGGAGAAGCTCAAAGTAAAGCCATGAGAGCTTATGCTCAAAGTGGACAATATCATACCACTGTAGAGAGTCGTGTTCGTCTAACACAGCTCAGAGGAAGTGGAAGCTTATATTTTAGGATCAAAGCTTATATATTTTAAAAGTGCCAGATAAAATAAGAACTTTTCAGTCGTCGGGGCCGGAGGGCGAGCAACAGACAGAAAGAGAGAGAGAGAGAGAGGGAGTCGAGTCCAACCTTCTTTGTTATTCCAAAGAGCAGCAGCATAGCTGTTGAGAGGACTCTCTGGGTTGGACTCTGCATTGTAAACACAACTTCACATGGGATGAGAGAATTATCATCAAGATCATAATATTCCCAAATATGCAGGGAGAAATGAGCAAACCTCCTAATAGGCTTTGAATAGACAAAAGAATGGTTCTGCAATCATATGCTGAAGACCACTTATCCTATCGAAAAGGACGTTACGTAAGTATCAGGAGATTCGAAAAATCAACTAAAGGAACGTTGAGGTGCTTGATTTGCCATAAAGATCATGGGTGTTTTTCCTATATCCTGTACAATAACCATCCAACATAAAAGCAAAAACACCCCTGTATATTGAACCGATACCTGAAGAATGTCGAGACAAATGTTGCCATATTGGTCGACATTTGGATGGAAGCACGTCGTCTCGAACTTAACAAGGGGTGGCTTGAAAGGGTACTCCATGGGAAAATGTAAAGAGAGTTTGTAAGACAAACCCTCATATGCAGTTCCTTTCCCACCCTCAATCGTGCCTATCCATGTGAAAATGCTCTCACCTTCAGGAAAAGCTGACACACCAAGATCATCTCCACTCATCTATAATAGAGAGCACCGCCAAACAAATATGGTTAATGAACCATTTATATAAAGCAGACAACAACCAAGTTCATAATTCCTTCCAACCACTTCACTGTTTTGAAATAAGTAAACACATATATTCAGCATGATGCAGATAAAGAAATGCAAAGTTGAAGTCCAAGAAGTCACCATTTGCCTAACGATCGAGCAACAAATGAAATGCTAAGTTTTTCTTCTTCTTCTTCTTCTTTGGTAAGAAATCAATCTTTCATTAAGAAAATGAAAAATAATGTACAAAAACGACCATAAAATGAGTCTTGAACTACCTAAGGAATGGACTCCAATCTAAAACAACGAGACTATGGTGGTAACTACAAGAAGTCCAATGAACAGATGGTTAGGAATCACAACCATCCACAATGGTATGATATTGTCCACTTTGAGCATAGACTCTCATGGTTTTGCTTTTGGTTTCCCCGAAAGGCCTCATACCAATGGAGATATATTCCTTACTTATAGCATAGGCTCTCATGGTTTTGCTTTTGGTTTCCCGAAAGGCCTCATACCAATGGAGATGTATTCCTTACTTATAAACCAATGATCAACCCCTTAATTAACCAACGTGAGACTCCTTTCCCAACAATCCTCAAAACATACCGCTAGTGATTATAAAAGAAATGCAAAGTTAAAGTCCATACATGATAATAAGAAGCATAGAAGCTGCAAAACAAAATGTCAAGTATGTCATGACAAACTACCCTTGTCCCAGGCAGTGGATGGGATGGGACCATCGTTCTATCTGCCAACAAAAGGGAAATTACACATTTTCCAAATGAAGAACGATCACCAAACCCAAGAATTTCTTATTCTCACTGTTTCAACCAACCATCAATACCGACTCAAGAGAATCATGTAAATAAAAAGATTCAAGAATCAAAGAAACACCATGAGAAATGTAAAAGAAACTACGAAACATACCATCAGCGACATCAATTCCTTTTGCAGCCTGCAGCCAAATAAAGAAAAACGTCAAAATCTCATTACAAGAATCGAAATTAATAAGAATTCATTGAAAGCATGAATCTGAAGCTTTCTACAAATTTGATAATCAAAACAAGGAAAAGCAGCCAACAATCAACATACCAGATTTACTATAAACACTAAAACGCAACATTAAATCGTACATTCCTCAATTCTCGCCATCGTTTTCTTTTACTTTCTAATCGATTCTTAAGATTCACCACAACCTCGGAAGCAAAAACAAATCAACAAACACAAAGAACGATCGACAAGAAGTTTCACCTCTGCGCAACAGCGTTGGAGTCGATAGGATTAGAAGAAGCAGACGGCTGCTTCAATGAAGAACTGGTGAGATGCTGCTGCGAGATCGACGAGTTGTCGCCCGTCGGATTGGGTCTCACCTCCATATCCACAACGATCAATAACACAAAGAAACCTCTCAAATTAGATCCAACTACGAATCAAGCAGACGATTAAATGCATAACGCCACCGTCTTAGACTCGAAACGTTACGATTCTACGATGAAATCAAGTGAAAATCACCAAGATTTCAGTTGTTTTTCTCTGTTTCTGGAGAAAAAACTTCAGTTAGTGGAGACGGTGGATGAAGACAATGGCTTTCACTATTTCTTTTAATAATAAAAAGAAATCCAAATTTTCAACTTTAAAATCATATAATTATTTTTTCATTACCAAACAAATCCATCATATCTTTTTATTTGATTTGATCGAATTTTGTCTTAATAAAATGAAACTTAATTATTTATATTATCGGAGTGTCACCCACTTAATATATAATTTTTTTTATTAAATTAATAAAAATATTTCTTAAATATTTCAATAATATTTTTAAATTTAAAAATACTCATTCATTTAAAAAATATGATTGAAATTTTTTTAAAAAAATGAAAAAATACTCTGACAAAGTTTTTATCATTGAACAGTCTATTTACACCTCATAAATTATATTATTAATGTTACTTCTGAAAAGTTTTTGAAACTGTAAATATATTTTTTATATAGTAAGACGGGTTTTTGAAGTTTTTATTAAATATTAATAAAACTTTTGAAAATTCAATTGTATTTTTGAAATAAAGTATTAACGATAAATGTATTTTTTTTTTCTCTAAAGGTCAAGGGTATAATTGAAATTTTTGAAAGTTCAAGAGTATTTTTAGAGGCCGTGCTTGCACGTATTTTTATTACTTTAGCTGTTTTTTAATAGATTATAGGCTTCAAATTTCCGTTCTCATTTTAGAAGAAAAAAATGGTTGATAAGATCAATAATTTTATTAACGAAGATTTTTATTTTATAAAATGATTACGACGTTTAAAGAGAATTTCACTCGATAAGAATCAAGTAAATAACAAAGGATTTGGAGATGATGGATTTAAGTCGGTCACCTGTCTAACATTTAATATTTTAGAGAGTTACTTTAACAATCAAACAAACGAGACGTCACCGAACATTAAAAAAAATATAAATAAATTAAAAAGTATACATGATTCTCTAAATGGTCTAACTCTATGTAAGATAATGAGGTTCTTTTTAGCCTAAGTGGGTGAAAAAAATGTTCCTTTTTTGGTACTACTTTTTAAATTCAAGTTCAACTTTTTTTTTTCCTTTTTTGGATAAAAATTTGGAAGTTGTTTGTAAAAGTTCTTTTTGTTTTCAAAAATTTGTAAAGAGTGTATAGTTACTAATGTGAACGAACATGAACAAAGGTGAAAGTTGTTAGAATTAGGGAAAAAAAAGGCGAAGTGGACTAATCGAGGAAAAAATATCACAAGAAATGAAGAAGAATGAGTCGTGGAGCAACTGGTCTAGTAATCAGAGGCATCGAGGCATGGTTAGAGCTAGGGGTGTTCATATGACTTGAGAACGTGATCAACCCGAACTACCCAACTCAAACTATAAAGGTTGAATCGGTTTGCAAGTTGATATTTTTTTTGTCAGGTCAACGCAATTAACCTGAAAATAGGGTCACACCTCAACCTTACCTTACTTTTAATATTATTATAAAACTTAAAGAATGTTTGAATTGTTTGATATTTGAACTTTACTAGATTATAGTCATTGTCCCCTAAAGATGTTTCTAACCTGTAACAGTCCAAGTAATTAGTGATGCATTGTGACTTGTAAATGTTTGATATTTGAACTTTACTAGATTATAGTCATTGTCTCCTAAAGATGTTTCAACCTGTAACAGTCCAAGTAATTAGTGATGCATTGTGACTTGTAAGTGTTTGATATTTGAACTTTATTGGATTATAGTCATTGTCCCCTAAAGATGTTTCCAACCTGTAACAGTCCAAGTCCACTGCTAGCCGACATTGTCCTCTTCAGGCTTTCCTTTCAGATTTCCCTCAACGTTTTTAAAAACATGTCTACTAGGGAGAGGTTTCCACACCCTTACAAAAAATGCTTCATTCCCCTCTTCAACCGATGTGGGATCTCACACAACCCAACTCGTATATACTCCTGATTAGGGTTATAGATTTGGAAAAATCAACATAATGTTAGCCATAGATGGAGCTTTTAAGCCCGCTCCACCGGACTCAACTCGGGGGCCAAACGATCCCTATGATGGATTAAACAATCTAACAAAATTTGACTTTTAATTCAAATTTTCATTTCTTTGGGGATAAGATATTAAAAGGGACATCTCAGTCTTATCAACTAAAGAATGATAAAAATGGAATCTATAATATAAACCACTCACTCATATATTAAACATCAAAATCAAACATTTCAAGTAGTTGGTGCTCATTTTTCCAATGGAGATAAGCTTTGGCTTTGTATTCAACCCTTTCAAAAAATCCATACAATATTTTATATCTGCAAGAAGTGACAGATCACAGATGGAAGATCTCAAGAACATTTCATACAGAACATTGTGGGAAAAGAATGGCTTTCTTGTCAATTAATATAGAAAAATTGGGAAAAACAGCTATAGGAAACTAGTTGCTATGCCATAGCTATAGAACTGTTCTCTCAAGTGTATAAAGAACTGTCCTGTACTTAAAGAACGTGCAAGAATGTGCTGTGGGTGATGTTATTTCCCATGGCTAAATCATTTGGCAAATGAGAAGTCTGAGGGAGTCCTAGTGATTTCATTTTCGTTACGAGCAGGACGAGGTGTGGTACCTGGTATGGTTGAACTTGGCTGTTGAGCTGTCATCTCCTGTTCTCCACTGGAAACAGAATGTTCGTGTTCTTGATGATCATGGGCTCTACTATGATGTGAAGAAGGTCGAATGGAATGTTCGTGTTCTTGATGATCATGGGCTCTACTATGATGTGAAGAAGGTCGAATGGAATGTTCGTGTTCTTGATGATCATGGGCTCTACTATGATGTGAAAGAGGTCGCTCTTCAATGCCCCAACGGTCGTGTTCGGCATCAGATAGCCTGGGAGATGTGCTGCTCTGCTGATGTTTGTGCAGAAGGTGGAGGGGAGACATACCGTGCGTTGGAGTAGCTGGCCTGCTTGAGAATGGCGAGGTACCATCCGGGTTGCGGTGTTGCTTCATGTGTTTTTTGGCAGAGTGGTGCCAGTTCTTCAATGCCGTTGCTACTCGTTCGTTGAAAATGGTTGGTTTCATGTTAGAGCCCATCTGGAATCAAGTGCATACAAGGTGATGAATGGCTATTTTCTTATGGAACTATTATGAGATTCATATTTAATCAAGCTCAAGAAAACAGTTCATAGTATAATGATCTTGAAAAGGTAAACACCTGAGTAACCAGAGCATAGAGTGGGAGCGTCACGTAACTGCATAGAACTTGTATGATGACCCTGAAAGTTGTTGAATTCGGCTTCGGTTAGCGGTTTAAAGACGGAATAAAACTCGGAATGCTTACAGATTTGTTAGTGAACTTACCCCATTGAGAGTCTAATGGCAATGTCTTCAATCTTCTGATGGAAGCAAGATCTCAAGCTAAATGCATACTGAAAGAGAATTAAACCAAGTATTAGAGGAGGTTGGTTCTCAGTGTAGATAATTTCAGAAGCTACAGAACGAGGAGGAAAACAAATACTATCGGATGAAAAACGAAAGTAGGACGGTCTCGGTTGAATTACTTACTGTGGTCCAAGCAAAGAAGGCAAGCTGAAATGCATTCTGCAATCAAAGAGGGAATGTCATATTTCAGGGAGGAGAAGAAATATGTTCAATTTTAGAAAGATATGAAGTTGGCTTTGATAAGTACCTGAAAGAGAACGAAGTGAATCAGAAAGAGAATAAGTTTTGGGCGACCGAACCAAAAGAGATCGTCCCGGGGCTGAACGACGGGAACACCCTTTATAACATGGCCCCTTTCTTGAATTGTCAATCCCATCTTTGTTATGATAACATGGAGCTTCGTTCCCACCAATAGAATTATCTGCATTACATAAAGAGGAAAACGAACGTTGAATGAACCGTGAAACAAGTCGTTTGTTAAAAATAAATGGTGAGTATGGAAAAACGCTTACAATTAAGGAGATGAAAGGCAGCCATAGATATGAATACCACCCTGACAAGGAATATAAACGAAGCACTCCTCAATGAGTACTCAGAGATTGAAAGGAACTAAGACGATGTCTAGTACATATGTCTGAAACGCAGTGATTGTAAGCTTACCATGCGTATTGGTTAGGATGAACAGAACAGCAAATAGCCACATCGCTGGGCTGCAGATTAGAAGATTGGTCAAAATTTTATAACCAATATTAATAAATGAAATCAAGTTCATGTATATAATGAAGAAACAAACCTAATCCCCACAACAACTTTAAAGTCATTTTCGAGAGATCTGCTAATGTATTTGTGGAAATCAAATTTTACTTCACTTCCGGGAGCCAAATGAGCCTGAAAAATGGCTCATGTCTTAGTACGGACTAGCAGAATCTGTATAGATAAACTTTACGAAAAGTGGAATCGAAGAAATTTGGTATTTTTTGCTTACAACGATGAATCCATGTCTCAATGTCATGTAATCAACCTTGGTAACTGATCCAAAGAATTGTCTGAAGAAACAAACCTACACGACAGAAATGGGGTGATGAACATCATGTATAATGTCATTTTGTTGCATTTTGTTGTATTTAACCATAAAGTACTTATAAAAACAGTGCGAAGTTCAAACTATATGATCGTACACAGATGCAAAAGCAGGAGACTATAGTTCAAAAGTGAAAGTTATAAATATGGACCCATCTCTTTGATCTTTTTCTTAATGTAATTTGCTAAGAGTTTCTAGGAAGAGTGAATAATTTGCCAAATTCAAATTCATGAGCAAATTTCTTGACTAAATTTTGTGACAAACACTTACAATCCAGAGGAAAACTGGTGTACGACTCCAGAAGCTCAAGTGTCGGCGTCCAAACGTTGTATCTCTAGCAAATCTAAACCTTGCTGGATCTGCAAGACAGAAGCTATCATTTCATAAGTATGTATTACCCAGGATTTCTAATGAATAAATCTGCAGTAAAAGATGATGACATCATGAGAAAACGATATCGAAATGAAGCAAAATATTAACTATCAAAAAAGGATTTCGTCCCAAGCTGTTGAAAAATCAGCTGCAAGAAAATGGCTGCATTAACCTAGCATGTTGTCAATTAGTCATCCTAAGAAGATCACTTAATAGCTGGTGTTGTGATTGATATTTGAAACCTTGTGATTAAAGCACTTAAAATCTAGCGATTTCTATGGATTTTGAAGGAAGCTATACCATTATAGTACTGGTATTCAAGTGTTTTTGTCTCGTCCTCCCAAGCCTTCCATTTTCTCATCTACAATTAAAAGGAAATCATGAAACCGATCAAGGGAAAAAGAGAGAGACGGGGAAAAGGTTAAAGACTACCTTTGTTCTGCCCAAAGCCAAAGTGGCGATGCAGTATAAGACATGGAAGACAGCCAGTACAAAGATGAAAATATGGAGCTGGTGGATTCCATATGCTGACACAAAGGCGACTTGGCCCTGCAAAAGTGTTCAGCCCAGAAAGCTTCATATCACTTGGGAATATAAGCTCACTCAATTTCTACTCCATGCCAATTACGTTTTTGCTAGTCTATTATTATACAGAAAAAATGAAATATTGCAACCAGTAGAGCTGAGTTCAAATGGCAATAAGGGAAGTGTTTAGACTTTGAAGAGATTGTGTACCCTATCAGCGCATGCATCGTTTCCTTTTGAAGCTAAAATACGCCTCGAACCATAATCAGGATCTAAAAATTCAAAAAGTTTAAGACGGCTGTTCTTGGGTGCTTTTTCTTTTCCTGCACAGGGACGCCAAGTTGCCGCAAGCTCCCTCGAAACGCAAATTTTAGTGACAGCATCTTGGCCAATAGTTAGAAGTAGGGATATAAATCCCAACAGCATAAGCTCTTCATGAGACCATCAACAAGAGAGAACAGTCAACATTTGACATAAGAAAAACAATTCCCAAAAAATTGAGGTGGCTAGATGGGCCAAATACCTGCTTTAACCTTTTCTAGAGCTTCAACAAGTGCTGGCTTATGCCTTCTCTCCAGCCACTGCAGGAAAATGAAGGTTTAATTGACATAACATACTGGATTAACACAGGCATACAGAAGCACAACTTCATCAGAAGATAACTTTTGCAGAGCCAAATATTGAAAATGCACAACGACGTTCTAGCATCGAGCCATAATCAGCATTCTACTGAAGTTCTGTACTTGAAAAGGGCGGGATACTTAAGCTAAGATTCAACCGTTCGGAGAATTTCCGCACATAACTGAGTTATACACAGAAGAACGCCTACCTTTTCGGTGAGGTGAATGAGATGTTCAATGAAGATTGAAATAGCAACCAAGAAAAAACAAACAACCGCAACAGCCCATGTTGAAGTATCTTCCAAAGTACGCTGCTCTTCTCCACAGGCTGCCATTAAGAATGGAAGTTATCTCCTTATTAACAGAAACAAAGCTCTCAAGCTTACAGAGAAGCAATGAAATTCTTGGAGGAGAAGGATGAGATGAATAAATGCAAAGCACAACGGTCTTCGTACTTCATTTATATAGTCTTATGCATGTGGAGGAAGTTGCTTCATGACTTAAAATTATGCATGGCAATGCCTACAACCAATCATTCTGACCCTTTCCTAGAAGGGTTTGTCAAAGTATGGGAGAGAAGGACCACGTTATAGTGTGCTAGACTTGAGCCTTCACTTTTTGAAAACCAAATAAAAACGTTAAATTATTTTTTCAAAGAATAAGTTGATTTTGGTTTCGATAAGTTTTTTAATTTGTTTCTAAGTCAAAGTAAGGGATTCTGGAGGTAGTTTGAAGAAAAAGAAATAAAAACTTGAAAGTAATGGTTAACAATAATTTGAATCCTTCCTTTTCTTTATAATATTGAGTTATAAATGTGTGGATGAGATTTCAACACTTGAAACTTTCCATCTTTTGAGTTCAAAAACATGTAGGAGCGAGGAATTCGAACTTCTAATCTCTTGATTGAAAGTACATACCTAAACTTATGGAACTACGCTCAAATTAGCTTCAAATTTGTCCTAATTGTTGAGCTATCTAAAGTTGACCGGTTTGAAATCATTATTTATAACTTAAACCCTAAACCCTAAACCCTAAAATCATGGGGAATCTAACCATGTAATATCATCAATTGATACCAAAAACAGAGTCCACAAATATCCTCAACAGGCTACAGAAAGGGATTAAACATGAACAAAACAAGACAATGATGAACCTAAATCAGGAAACTACAACACGTATGCTAATCTCAATGAGTTGATTAATCAATTAATCATTCATCATGGAATTAAATCACAGCATTGACTATCATTACGTATTGAGATTTTCAAGCTCTGTATAATTCTCCTACAGACAGCTACTTTGAACTTATCATATATATCCGAACAGATCAACATAGTTTATTGACCTTATCGAGCCGAGCAGCAAGGTTTGACGCGCCAAAGTTGAAAATTATTTCTCCTCTCCACATCAGAAGGGCCCTCCAATAATTCAAAGTTCGTTAAATCCCTCATCCCGGTGCCTGAAAATGAGCGCAAATGAAGACAATTCCACACGCGATAGATTCGTTTCCATGACGACTTGTCGTTCTGAATCTGAAAATCTCAAACAAATTAGGGGAAATTAACGAAATACCCCAAAATTATTGGAGTTTTAAGACGTTGATTTCTGGGAACTCCTCGGCGTTGGACTTTGATGCGGAAGACTTGAGGGCCAGGTCGCTCCCCAAATTTGACCGTAGATTGCAAGAGGAAATGCTCCGATTCATCTTCTTCTTGCTTGAAAATTCTGAACTACTTGTTTAACAGAATCGTCTTCGATTCCAGAAATTAAACTGCTGTGAATGAACAATAGTTCCTTGTGGTTTAAGGAAAGAATGCATAACCCCTAATTTGAAAAATAAGATTTTTTTTTTTTTTCTTGAAACAAAAATTATTATCATTTCAAAATTCTTAGGTTAAAAACGAAAAAAAACACATCTTTCCATTTGAAATTTTATTATTTAAAAGTTTATAATTTATAAATATTTAATTGATAAAAACTAAGATATATTTAAGCATGATTAAATTTATTATCGATCACTTAATTCGAACATAATTCAATAAATAAACTTAATTACAATTTTAATTCAACCTGTTTTCTTTCGAAAACAAAGAATTTCTCCATTAAATATTAATTTATTAATTAATTTATTATTATTATTATTATTATTTTTGTCTGTCATGATAAATTTATTTATAAACTATTAAATAAAATTGTTATTAAATTTAAACTAAATTATTAAATAAATAAAAAAAAGTTGAAATACTATATTATTATTTGAGAATGTAAATGTAAAATAATAATAATAATAATAATAATAAATAAATAAATAATGTTTTTACCCAAATATTTATTATAAAAAATATAGTAATTTTCAAATGATTTTTTCTTAATAAAAACGTGATTGAGTTATTAATTTTATGTACTTTCCTTAATTTGGCCAAACTAATGTTAGAAAAAAAAATTTAAAAATACTTATTAAAATTATTATTTTTACCTAACAAATTATTAAATTATTTTTATTTTGTATCTAATAAATTATTATCTTATTTAAAAAAATTTAAATTTACAAATTTTAAGTTCTATTAAACATAAAATTGAACATTTATTTTTTATAAAAAATTAAATATATACAAAATAAATATAAAATTAAAAAATTATGAAAAAAAATAAAAATTTATTAGACAGGATTATAAAGACTTTCTGGTTCAATTTAATTAATTCACCTAATCCACTCATTTAAAATTGGTTGACTTATTAATTAGATATCAACCGTATTTCTCTAATTAAATTTATTTTATAAATTTGAGCTTTTATTATATAATATTTTTATCCACGTGTCAGAATAAATTTCAAAACAAAAATCTTTGTCAAAAAAGTATTTTTTTAATTTGGACATAAATTTCTTAAAAAAAATAATAATAAAAAATAAAAAGTCGTGGTCATTAGTCTATATTTTATTATTATATCACTTTCACTTTCGCCTCCTCCATTAAATTATAATGTTTTTAAAAAAAGTCAAAATTTTTATTTATTGTATAAAAAATAAATAAAATTTCATAAAGTTTAAGATTTTAATATAAATATTGGTTTAATTATTAAAATAATATATATAATTAAAATTTTATTAATGGTAAAATAATTATAATTGGATTATTATACTAATTATTTGTTTATATAATTTTATTAATTGGAGGATAATTATTAAAATTAATTTCTAAATAAATTAAAAAAAATCTAAGAATAATTTTTAAAAATTTGTACAATAAAATGACGAAAGAAGCTAGTTTCAATAAAATGATTTAGAATCGAGGAACATACCTTTAAATATATGATAAATGCTTGTTTGTGATTTTCAATAAAATATATTTAATTTAAAAATGAAAAAGACCGAACATTAACATGAAATTAATTATATACGGGTTTTCCGTATAACGATCTAAAATGAGTATTATTGATGTGATTTGAATGCAATTCGAGTCGAAGAATTTGTAAAATACCTAACGTGTATTGAAAAGAAAAGCATATGATAGAAATCATGAATCCCGAGTCTGACCTAGCAAGGAGAAAATTTTCAACCGTGACCGAGTTAGCTTGTGATTATGGCGTGGTCCAAATTTATTTCGTTTCCCGATGTCTAAATGAGGGCTATGCGTAGGTATAGACATTGGTGCACTCTTTTGTCATATATATTGAATTGTACGGTCAAGGTTTTGTTTGACTTTTTTATTTTGTTTATTTTGTTTTTTTTTTCTTAAATTGTTAGTTATTTCATTGTAATTTAAATTATATTTAGTCATATTTGATGTGGAGAAAAATAATTTTTTTTTATTTAATAAAATTTAGAATAAATAAATTTAATTTCTAATTTTAAAAAAAATATATATTTTTCTTTGTTTCTAGACCGGGACAAAGTTCGAATCTATTGTCTTTAGGTCATGGGCCTGACGAGTCGACCACCTTACTCCTTCCTCGTTTTTTTTTTCACTATTCCTATCCTCAGGGTTGCCCCAGTCAATTGAAGGTTAAGAGTTGTGAGGTACCACATCAGTTGAAGATGAGAAAGAATCATTCCTTGTAAGGGTGTGAAAATCTCTCTTTACCCGATTGCATTTTGAAACCTTGAGGGGAAACCTGAAAGGGAAAGCTCAAGGAGAACAATATCTGTTAGCGGTGGATTTGGACAGTTACAAAAGCAGACCCCATAACATAAAAACGTCAGGCATAAGTCCCATTGGAGACAATTGATTCTGTCAACTTGTGCACAATAACAATAACGATCAAGTCTATAACGTTCGACTATCAAATAGATGTATATTATAAAATTTAAACCAACCCTCTCGGATTTTTTTTTCAACGTAGAGAATACAAGAATTTGAACTTCTAATCCCTTAATCGATGATATATTTCTTAACTGATTGAACTATGTTTAAATTCACACTTCAAGATCCAGATCATAACGCCACTCAACCACCTCGAGTTTAGATAAATAAAGGAAATCCTTTCCTTTCCCTCGTCTTCCTCTAGAAGCAGCTCAACAAAAAAACCTCCATTGTTTTCGGAACGTTCGGGTCCATAACGCGCTGCATTTTTGAACCGAAACCGAAATCCCGATCGTCTTCTCTTTACTAATAAAGTGTTCAATATGACTGATCAACATTCTGCAGACATTCAATCCTGTCCAGAAAATCAAGATCATGGCAAAAGCTCTGAAAGTGAGACTTTGTTATTCCACAAACAAATCAAATGATGTTCCATTGTCTGCTGAATGGCAATACATTAGCTGAACTTTTTCTTCATAAGACAAATCAGAATATAAAGAATGATGATATTTGACGCTAAGAATAACGGCACTCGAGATGAATGCTTCCCGATCGATCTTTTCCCGAGATCTTCTGTACATAAACTGTCCTATTCTTCTTTAGATGTAAATATGATTACAATCGTCTTCAACGTGGAAGGGGCTTGTTCTCCAAGAATGATCGGAAAAGAATGAAAGCTTCACGAGGACGGTGGAGCGGAACCTCATGGCCCGCTCCAGCCACGGTAACGAACGTCAGCCCTTTGTATATTTGGCACCATCCACCTACCTGTATCGTCGTAGAATTAGCTCGTAAGACGTACACAAAGCTAACTGTTATAGTAACATTGCTTCAAGTTCAGTCTATCAATCAAGAAATGTTTGTTGTTCAAAGAACTAACCTTTCCATGGTCGTACCAAGGATACCAGTTGCTTAGAGTTGGGAGTTTTAAAGCGTCGATAGAATATCGCGTTGCTGTCACGGGAACCACTGAATCGGTGTCTCCGCTGAAAGGGAAAGTTTCATCAGGATCAGCAGAATGGAAGAATAAGAACTGAAGCCCAGACAATTATGTTTTGTATGGAGGAACAAAAAGTAAAGGATTTTACAAGTAGAAGAGATCGACATGTCTCTTTCCTCAAGTTTCGACTCAATGGAGGTGAACTGTGAGGTTCTGTATTAGTTGGAGAGGGGAACGAAACATTCCTTATTAAAGGTGTGGAAACCTCTCTCTAATAGACGCGTTTTAAAAACCGTGAGCTCAGGCTAAAGAAGACAATATTTGCTAGAAGTGTGCCAGCAAGGATGTTGGCACCCAAGGGGGTGGATTGTGAGGTCCCACATCGGTTAGAGAGGGAAACAAAGCATTCCCTTGTAAGGGTGTGAAAACCTCTCCCTAGTAGACGCGTTTTAAAATCGTGAGGCTGATGGCGATACGTAACGGGCCAAAATGAACAATATTTGCTAGCGGTGGACTTAGAGTGTTATAAATAGTATTAGAACCAGACACCAGGCGGTATATTAGCGAGGACGTTGGGCCTCCAAGGAGGTGGATTGTGAGGTCCCACGTCGGTTGGGGAGGGGAACAAAACATTCCTTACAAGGGTATGAAAACCTCTCCCTAGTAAACGCGTTTTAAAAACCATGAGGCTGACGACAATACATAACGGGCCAAAGCGGACAATATTTGCTAGTGGTGAGCTTGGGTTGTTACAAATGGTATCAGAGCTATACACCGGGCGGTGTGCTAGCTAGGACACTGAGCCCCCAAGGAGGGTGGATTGTGAGGTCCCACATCGGTTGGAGAGGGGAACGAAGCATTTCTTATAAGGGTGTGGAAACCTCTCCCTAGTAGACGTATTTTAAAAAACTGTGAGGCTGACAACAATATGTAACGGGTCAAAGCGAATAATATTTGCTATCGGTGGGCTGAGGCTGTTACATGAACCATAAGATAAACTTCTTTTAACCACCTAAACTTCTCCACTTTTAGTATTTTATTTAATATTTTTCTTAATTAAGGATCGCTCCTACTAATCTCATAAGACAACCACTTATAAGCCGACACTTGGTCGTTCGGAAATGTGTTTCAGGCTAGGCGTTAGCTATACCAGGTAATGGATGAAGAAGAGATATGGACTACCTGAATACCCAAATTCTGATACCAGCACCAATCAATTCTTGATATATTGGAAGCATGGAGAGAGGAGAATCATCCCAGTAGCTTCCCACAAGATCGCTGTAAAGGAATAAAGCAAGAATTCAGCAGACCATGCAAGCGCCCAGATAAAGAGTTACCTCAAATATGCCATAAAAACAAACCTGCATGTACTCCATGGATAAGTTATCCCAGTTACATTAGCATGGAATGCCTTCTGAACATCGGGGTGATTAAAGTACACGACAGAGTACCTCTCGGTACACGGATCGTAGGCTCTCGACATCCATGGCTGAATTTAACGTAAAAACTCCCTCAACGTTACAAAAAACCGAATCAAATATAGATTTTTTTGCAAAAACTGACAGAATGTTGAATGTACTTACATAGTGACCCCTTAGGTTATGTCTCAACGATGCAGTACCGTTGCACGGACGAGTGTAAATGCTATATGGATCGATATTTCCTTGCTCAAACTCTGCAACTGATAGAGCTTTCTTGCATTCGACTGACGGGTGCTGAGAGGATCCGAAATCACAGGCATGTCGCAGCAGTCGGTATGTAGAATCGGATATCAGACCGTGAGTCCACCAGTACTCAAACGTGCCAACGTAATCGTGATAGTCGTCAGTAACAGCATTCCCTACCTAAACAAGAGAATCAAAGCAAGAAGATAATTCGCCATCAAGCAATAGTTCGATCAAAATAAACGAATCAACAACATTATCAACTCTAATTCATTACCATAAATCCCTTGAAGTTTATGACTGGATTCTGAACTCCCTTATTTCGTTCATAAATCAACTGTGATAGCTGAGGAACATAGTGACCTGAAACCGAACACGGGTTCATGCCATTATATCGAGTTTCGAATAGACATTAGTTCATGCAAGTAGAGGATACAGAGAAACTCAAAACCTGCATAACTCTCTCCAGCAATGTAGAAATCTCTGTGCTTATACTGAGGAAACCTTTCAAACCAATTCACTAAAAATCTATATGCATCTTCAGCTGAAAGTTCACAACAACAAAACATCCTTAAATGTCTCAACATTTCATCGTTTATCGTTTCGTTACGTGTCACAAACCAGACCGTGTTAATCCATAATATCAGTAGAATACCTGTTTTCCGGTCACCTGCAGTGTACAAATCCGAGGTAGTATTCGAGTACGAAAAGCCAACACCAGCAGGGGATTCAAGGAACAGCAAATTTGCCACTGCAATGGATAAGATGAGATGAGACAACATGAATTGTTAGCAGAAAACTAGATTAGGAAAACCAAACAAGCTAGACACACATACAATTGTTCCAAGCATATGGATTCAAGTACAGAGTCCTCCCATCTGGCTTAATCCGGAAAGGACCAATTTCTTCAGCTGCTCCATAAGCAACAGAAGAGCAACCAGGGCCACCATTCAACCACAATACAAGAGGTCTCGACTTCGGTACACGGCTCGTTGGCGTCTCGGTCAGCCAATAAAACAATGCCCTCCCAGCTGGTTTATCTACAGTAACATAACCAGAATACTGGGCAAAGTCCACATTCTTTGGCTGCCCTGGCAATTGGGTTATCCTATCTCTTTCTTGCTCAGAAATATAAGATCCATGGGAGATTCCCACGAAAGATAGAACAAAAAACAGATAGAATAACGAAGTACTCATTGCTAGAATTGGGATCTTGAGATTGAGAAAGAAAAAACAACTCAAAAACTCAGATCCCAGAATAGCTCAAAGAATTGATCCTAGAGAAGACACGAACATAGAGACAGAACAGTAGCAATGGTTGAAATTCGTGCAGATATTTCATTAAAACATGGTCAGCATTGGTCTGAAAGTGATTCAATGTACGTAATGATATGAACAGTGAAGAACGAGCGATTGTCGAGTGTTTTTCATTATCAAATCGTCTATTACTGGATTAAATTTTGACAGATTCAGCACATGGGGTTGCTATTAAAGCTCTCAAACTTCAGCACCAATGAAATTGACTCACAAATTCAATTCTAACGAACACATAGAATAAAAAAATAGAAAAGAATTCAAAAGAATCTGTTGAATCATTGGATTAAAAGATGCGTGCCGTGAGATCTTGAAGTACAGGGGTTAACAGTGAGTGGTTGGATTACTAAAAAGAATTATGAACGGTAAAAGGAATGGTATGAAAAACGAAAAGAATCGAAAAATCAAAAGAGGCAAAAAGGAGAAAACAACAAAAGTACTCTATCGCTGCTTCCGCCAGTGTATTCTGTAATGTACTGAAGCCGCAGCGGCAGCAGCGGCGGTGGCGGTGGCGGTGGGTAGGTGGTCCATTGAAAATTGCCCCAAGGATTGAGGACTTCCGAGGAATGGCTATTCTTCCCGTTTACTAATGCTATTTCTTACTCTATCAACAATTTTACACACCCTTTTCTACAACTACGTGTAATATTTTTATTTTTAAAAAAAATTAAAAATATTATTACATTTATTTTAGATATAAATAATTAATACTTAGTTTAAAAATACTAGGAGTGTACATGGTCCGGGTTGGATTGGGTTGAGGAATTTTTTTGACCCAACCCAAAAGTTCGGGTTGGTTGGATTGGTAACCCAACCCAACCCGAAACTTTTCCCAACCCAACCCTCTATTTTCGAGTTGGGTTTGGGTCATTAATTTTTTTTTAAGTTTTATTCATCCCCAATTTATAATTATTCGGATATAATCTTATATAAAATATATTAAAAATTTACCAACACAAATCAATAAAAATGATTAATGTAAAAATATTATATATAACAAAAAAAAACATATAAAAATATTGATTGAGATGGAGAACCTAAACTATTAGAAAAATAATATATATATAGAAAATAAATACATTCCAATTTAGAATTACAAGTTTATTTTTAAATATATTAAAACTAGAATTTAGAAATATAATAACTGCAACAAATAAAAAATAAATATATTAGAACATAATTGGTGAACATTCAACTAACCATGCCGTATAAAATTAAATTATTAGAAAAATAATATATATATAGAAAATAAATACATTATAATTTAGAATTATAAGTTTATTTTTAAATATATTTAAACTAAAATTTATAAATATAATAACGTTGCAACAAATAGAAAATAAATATATTAAAATATAATTAGTGAACATTCAACTACCAATGTCATATAAATGATTGGTTTATCATTAAATATATTTAAACTAAAATTTAGAATTACTTGTCTATAGAACATAATTTATAAATATTGAACTAGCGAATTCTTTAAATATATTTAAATTAAAATTTAGAATTACTTGTCTATCTTTAATCGTTATACATGAATAATTAGTTAGTAAAGTATTTTTAAAAAATTAAATACATAAAAGAAAAAAAACATGTATTTGTATAATTTATGAACATATAATATAACGGTTGGTTAGTAAGATATTTTTAAAATATATTTAAACTAAAATTTAGAATCGTTATACCTATATAATTTATGACTAATTAGTTAATAAAGTATTTTAAAAAATTAAATACATAAAAGAAAAAAAAACATGTATTTACATATATGAACCTATAATATAATGGTTGGTTAGTACAAAATTAAATACATAAAAGAAAAAAAAAACATAAAAGAATGTATTTGCATAATTTATGAACATATAATATAACAGTTGGTTAGCAAGGTATTTTTAAAATATATTTAAACTAAAATTTAAAATCGTTATACATATATAATTTATGACTAATGAGTTAATAAAGTATTTTAAAAATTAAATACATAAAAGAAAAAAAAAACACTTAATTGCTTGAATTCAAGCGTGAGTCTTCATAAACAGGCCTAAGTACCACTCTGACAAACCTATTTTAAATAAATTTTTTAAAATATATTTTATATATTTGAGTTTGGCTCGGGTCAACCCGAGAGTTTTACTCACGAACCCGAAACTGAACCAATTCAGTTCGGGTTCAGAAAAATGAACCCAACCCTACCCGAAATGCTAATCCAACCCAAACCAACCCCTATAGTTCGGGTTGGGTTGGTCCGGGTTGTCGGGTTGAATGTACACCCCTAAAAAATACCATGAAATTTTAAAACTAAAATTAACATTTTTAATTTTTATATATAAAAAATAAAAAATGACAATATTTTAAAATACAACAATAAGAGTAAATTTTTTAAATAATTTGAAAATATTATTTCAATTAATTTAGCGAAAAATTATATAATAAAATTACAATTTAATTTAAAAATATATATAATATTTAAATGTAAGAGAATAAATAGGGTGGACAAAGTGACGAGTGGTGACGGTGTGGATAGGAAGTTGTGCAATCAAGTTGTTTATTGTAGGGACCTTGACCGACAGCTGTCAGGTAACCCATAATCTCACCACGCGCCCTCTTATCCACGCGCTCAATGACACAAAACGGGCCCACCATGTTTCAGACAGGCAAGGCGAAAAAATGGGGGCACGTGACTTGCATGTGCAACTTTCTTTTCCCATATTGCCCTTACGCCAATTATTCCAAATCATTCCCTCTTTTTTTTTTTTCCGCAAAATTATTAAAAATATCCTTAAAATTTGGATTTTATTTAAAAATATTTAACTTAATATTTTTAAACTTCAAAATATCTTTAACTTTTTTTAAAATATAATGAAATAAACAGAGAATTTAAAACAGCAATATTAAATGGAATCAGGCGGCCATCAGGGAATAAATAATAAAAATAATTACCGAATTAAAAAAATAAAATAACAATAATATTAAATATCGAATTAAAAGGAAGCAAGAAAAAGAAAAGGACATTTGGATTCCACGTCACAGTGGAGCCCAGAAGGCAATCAACTGAAAGTGAAGTGGACAACACGTCTGCCCTCATCATGGGCCTAGTTTTATTGGGCTCGTCTTGTCGGCTGGACCAAAATATGGGCTTAGGCCCATATCATTTTTCGAATTTATATATTATTATTATTTTCCGTAAATTTACTCCATATATATATATATATATATATACATATATATATACACGCACAAACGAATGATACATGAATATAGCCACGGAGATAGAGGTATTCACGTGACTCGATAACTCAATTAGCTCAACCAATATGAAAAATTGGGTTAATACGCTGCTTATAAACGAATTAAAAATATTTAATATTTGTAACGGATGTTAATGATATGATGTGACTAATAAATATTTGATATTTGAACTCTATGAAATTTTAGTTATTGATATAGCATGTGTTCAAATAGACGTAATTTTTTTAAATATAATAATAATAATGAAATACACATAATTTTCTTAAATAATAATAATAAATAACTTTGTTGGAGGGGGAAAGTCCCAATGGATTAATTTAGGGAATGATCATATATTTATAATGAAGAATACTCTCTCTGTTGGTACGAAGTCTTTTGGGGAAGCCCAAAGCAAAGCGATGAGAGCTTATACTCAAAGTGAACAATATCATACCACTGCGGAGAGTCGTGTTCGTCTAACATGGTATTAGAGCCATGCCGAACAAAGGACTTCAAAAGAAAATGAGTCGAGCCTACTCGAAGACAAATTTAAACCCAAAAAGTTTATTATTATTTTTTAATTTCAATAAATTAGGCAAAAATAATAAAATTGATTTGCGCAATGCCCCCACAAAGAATTATTTTTTTGACTTTTGCACTTTTGATGGGACGGAGAAGGAAAATCGAGGAAGATTTGGGGCACTAACGAAAAACCAAAGTAGTCAAGGGGCAAATCTGCAAATAAGAAGTCAAAAGGAAACTTGACGAAGGTAAAGGGTTTTTATTTATAAAGAGACGGGCCGCACGTTGCCGACGGGATGGAGGATTCACGCGCACCGTAAGCGCGTGAAAGGATGTTTTTTTTTTCTCTTAATTATTATTTTGCTAAAAAACAATTTAATTGCTATTTAAATCGTCATAATTATTAAATTTGACTCATGAACCAAATTAAAAGACTAAAAATCGAAATTAAATTCAAATTAAAGCGACTAAATGAACATTAAATTTAAAATTTTGTTTTAATTATATTTTTCCCTCTCGTGGGGAATAGTTCGAAACTTTGGAGCGGGTGCAGACAGCACGTGCTTCAAGCGGTTCACGTGACTTTGCACGAAGCGTTGATGACGTGGCAAATTATATTATTATTATTTTTAATATTTTTGTCGTTTGGCGGTTTGACTCAGTCTCTTAATGGGCGCCAAACGGAATAAAAACGCCAACTTGTTTAAGGCGGGAAGGGCTGAATTTTAGAGAAAGTCATTGATTTTAGGCCGCAATTACGAAGTTACCCCTGGATTCAGAGTTCGGCAATTTTATTTATTAATTTGTTTTTATGATTTAAAATTTCAAAAAAAGAAAAAATCTATTAAAATATATCTAATATAATAGATTATAAATTAATTAATACTAATTTATTATCATAATATTTAATTATTTTTTGCAATTATTATCAAATACATTTTTAATAATAATTAAAATTAAAATTAGATTTAAAAAATGAAATGATTCGTTCAAATATTTAATATTTACAAATAATTAACTAATATATATTAAAATAATTATATTATTTTTATATGTTTTACGTTTATGAAAATATATTTAAAATTAAAATATAAAAATCTCTATTAAAATTCCGAAAATGTTTTACAAAAATTTCCAAATAAAAAATTACGAATATATTTAATTTGTTGCTTTAGATGGGAAGAAAGTCGGTGGGTCGGATATGTAAATATGTTAAAAAAGAAGGGGTATTTTGGGAACACAGTAAATAATTCTGTCTTGAAAATGAATAATAATAATAATTGCTATTATTTTTTTCCCGGACTTGAAGCGTGATTGAAATATGGTATAACAATCGCGTTGAGATCCGGACGCCCATCTCTCTCTCTCTCTGTACTCAAGGATCTATTTTGTTCTTTGTCGTCTTTATTTGCGCT